GGAAACTGATGGTCACTCATGAAAATACTAAAGGCAGTTATAATATGATGGTCATTTAAACAGCAGTGCCATAACCACATACTGCTTTAATACCAGGAATACACTGAATGTCAGAGGAGATAAAAATACTGGAAGAGGGGATAAGGGTGAGTCAATCTTGTCTCAAGTGACCACACCTCTTAAGGAAAAGGAAAGAAAATCACCTCTGGCTGGTATCAGTCAGAGATACACCTTGATGAACCCCTCCCAAAACACACAAGCACAAGAATCTCATATTTCAAAAATGAGGGGTGTGTACATGTATGTGCATGTGTTCATATATACATCACATGTCTGAAGGAGGAAAAGGGGTATGTGAAGCATAGGAGATTGGAGTTGCTCAAGGTCATTCTCTCGAAAAGAGAAAGTGAAAAGATGACAAAAAGGAATGGTCTTCAGGACAAGAGTTAAATGACAATTCCTTTCCACCTGCCTCTATGCTCACATCTGTTTCCAGGGGTTTCCTGGCTTCCCTATTATTCTACCCCTCTTATTAGTGACCACAAGAAGGCTGACAAGGAAGGAAGGTTTTGCCAGGAAATTTTCTGTCAACACGTGACAGTCTCAACCTATTCGTAAGTCAAGTCAGCTCTAAGTACAACACTGACCAAGGGCATTGGACTCAGATCCTCAAAGTGGTTGGGATGTCTCTGTCTCCAGACAAAAGGGAAGGGAAGGGAGGCAGAAAGCTCCATTTCTTAAGGAAGTTCTAAACATGAAACTCTATGCTTAAAAGGTCTATTTGGTTATGATATTTCACCTACTTCCAATATGCACCAATGAATGGCATTTTTAAAACATGAATGACACCAGAATCTATTTTTAGGCATCTGAGCACTCAAGACCCAGTTAATACATTTGTTTCAAACTTCCCTAAGGATGAGGGCACAAGGACAAGGCTTAACCTGCAAAGGACTGAATTCTTAATGAGAAAAGGCCAGGATGAAATGAAATGAGGAGGGAGATGAAAAAAATACCCAATTTTCCCAATACTAATATTCTCCACCAGCATCCTATGTTTCTTGGGCACCCTCTAAACAGGGATATCTTATTTGCCAGCAAATATTATGAGTACGCTATTGTTTCTGTTCTAATAACATTGGGGAGAAATCTAGGGGACAAAAAGGTGTCCTTGTCAGACTGTTAGTATACACAAATCAATTTTCCGACTAGGATTTTCAGAGTGATAGGAGAAATACAAATAAACTCACTAAAAGATAAAAAGAAAAAGGTGAAAGAAAAAAAAATCTTTACCTAATTCCTCCCAAATTCCCAATTATTTTTAGTTTTTATACAGGCGGTACCCTTTCCTTTCTTCAGAAAGTATAGGGGGAAAGGATAGGGGGAACCTGCTCTTCTGCTAAAGTCGCGTTATCCTCTGTATCCTTTCTTGGGTCTGCCAGGAGCTCAAAGTTACAGAGCAAATCTGTCTGAAGAGTGGCCCTCAACTCTTTCCTGTTTATGGGGGATGGTAGCAGTCTTTCCACTGGTATTTCAATTGGAGGTAAAACAGGAGTAGAAATGACCTGATTAAATCCAGGAGAACAAGACGGGGGAGGAGAGAGGAACGAATAGAAAACTAGGAAAAACACACTTAAGTTTCAGGTTTTGAATCCTGAGAAATCATGCTGTATCTGAATATCAAGGCATCTTTGCTGCCAGCTTTCCTTCTATGCACTTGAATATTCATTTACGAAGAAGGGGGAGGGGGCTGCCCGCGCAGGGGGTCGGGCGGGACCTCACTGCCCCCAGCCCCCCACGCGTGTCTCCCCACCTCCTCCGTCTCAAATCCAGGCGGCCACCTCTGCCACGACGCGCCCGCTGCCTGCCAGGGGGCCCGCTGCGCTCTCCCGCCCCGCCCCAAGAAAGTGTCACCGCGGGCCTGGCAGCTGCAGTGGCGGAGCCCAGCCCCCAAGGCCGCTGCAAACATGGCCTTGTAGCACCACCAGCCTGCGAGGGCTGCAGCAGCAGCCGAGCCCAATCTCCAGAGGAGTCGGCGACATCAAGGCGCAGGGACAGAGAGAGCAGCTAGCTAGCGAATGGCATTTGTGATCTGCAAATGCCATCATATGGAAATCTATTTAAAAAAAAACAAAACACGCAGCCAGCGGAGGAAAAGCAGGAAGCGCCCCTTCACTTTCCAGCGGCTTGAGCAAAGAGAAACCCCCCGGAGCACCCACAGCCACTGACTGCCCGAGCCGGGCGCCGTGCGCTCGGCCGGGCCGAACCCTCTGCCGGGTGCAGCCAGCAGGCAGCTCCCGAAGGCGGGAGACAGACGAGCACTCCTCAGCTGAATTATTCAGACCGCCTTCACTGTCGAATAAAACATTGATGAGACTACTTTGGAAGTGCTTTATCTTGTTAATCCTAATGCCCTCGAGAAGGGAGAGAAATTTTCCGTAGGGGACGCAGAGGTGATGGGATAAGAAAATGAGAGAAATGAGGTGCGAGGGTAAGGGGCTTTGGAAGTTCACTCAATTTGTTCTGCCTCAGCCTGCGGTGGGAATCTCCATTTTTAACATATCAGACCCAATATGTTAATTAGGCAGTCGCAAATCCACCCTACTCCTTGGAAATCAAGGCACTGGCAAGAATTTTCAAAATACACATTACCAAAAAAAATAAACGGGGAGGGGGGCGCAGAACAAAATAAAAACAAACCACACGCGTGCAAGCCCCTCTCCACAACCGAGACAATACAGTTGGGGAAGGTATAGGGGTGGTGGCTGTGGGTTTAGCAGCGCTCCTCTAGATAGAAAAATGACTTCTTTCATGGATCTACTTTGCTAGAGAAAAGCAAACCCTAGCAGTTAAACACCATATCTCAACACAGACTCCTGACAGTGAATTCCCTTCCATGCAAAGCAAGTTCCAAGAAAACTCTATTTCGAATTAAAGTCTCCAGACGCCTAATTTACAACTACTAAAGGATCTGGCAAGCCGGACCACAATAAGGAAAGGAAAACAACCTGGCACCAGAGGTAGAGAAGGGTCAAAATGATCCCTGCCTGAAAGGATGGGTGGAAACCAAACAACCTCTCGCACTCCACAATCTGGGGAGGGCTGGATACCAAATGGTCCGTGGCAACCACAGCCTGAAGGAAACACGGGATTTTAATCTCTGGCATCTTCAGACAGGTTCAACACGCTTAGCTTTCCAAAAGCATCACTTAGGGGGGAGTGTATCCATATTTTTCAGGCTTTCACTGCTAGATTAAGTGCTCACGTATGGATTTATATTCTATCTTCTAGAATTTATATTACAACATCACAGAGCGCCCTTGGATACCCAGCCCTTCTTAACGATTTTCAAAACATTAATAAGTAAAGTAGCCTGCAATGCAGATAAGACACTAGAAATAAGATGAGAAGGAAACTGGGTGAGGCGGCTAGTCATTTGCTTGTTACCTGGTGCCTCTAGAGGAAAGACGGTCGTAGGAAGACTTTCTGCCAGCAGGTACAATCCCAGCAAGGTGGCTCCAGGTGGCTTTCACAGTCGGACGCGGGTCTCGCTCGTCACTTCGCTGCCCTTTGCCATAGCTCAGCACCCGCATCCTAGGGAGTCCGAGAGGCGGCTCCAGCCACTGCCTCCGCTGCCCGCAGGTCGCGCTGGGTGGGGGATCCGCGGCGATCGCCCCATGAAACCCGCGTTTCTGCACCCGGGGAGCGGGCAGAGGCAGGGAGGCCGCGCACGCACACACAGACACACACTCAAGCACACACACTCACACTCTCGCAGCCAGGCGCGCGCGCACTCGCATTCACACTTGCACGCACACACACACGCACATACACACCCCCAGTACAGCACCGGGAAGGAAAAGCAAAGAGGGTACTGGTCCTCAGGATCGGCTTCGATGCCCACCGGACCAAGGACAGCAGAGACAGTGGTCTGGCATAGCCTTTCTATCACGTTTTCTTCAAGTTCTCTTCCGACCCAAATCCACGTAATTCAAGAGCTGGTGACATTTTGGTGTGAAGGAGAGAGCCAGGAACCTGCGAGGAAGAGTCGAAGAGTCGGGGATTTTGGTAAGCAGTTTGAAATGCAATTCTTGTTACCTTGATTGTGCAGAAAGCCGCTCGACAGGCTGAACTTTTGCCTTCAAATTATGTGGACCGAAATGTAAATATCCTCCTGGCCGAGACAGGAAGGTCTGGATGCACAGAAACAAGACGGCTGCAAGACCCTCTGGTGACCTTGTGATGTACCTGGAAGCAGGTTAATACTGGAGCTTTCCCAGCCTCTAGGTAAAGCGACCCACACACAGGGGTCCGCAGCTGAGCAGCCCTTCCGAATCCAGCCTGGAAAATGGGTTTGGGCGTCCTCCGCGCTCTGTGAGAAGCCGGGCATCGAGGGCACACCGCCGAGTTAACACATTTGCTTCTGGGCAGTGGGGTAAAAGACAGTCAAATGCATCAGACAAGTGCGCGCACAATTACACACACATACACACACGCACGCACGCACGCTACCAGCTGAAGAGAGCTTACAGAAAGAAAAAAAAAAGCCAAGATGACTTCCAAAGGTAGAAACGATCCAAAATCTTTCCTGAAAAACGGAAGGGCCAGCCAGGAGGTTACAGACATCTTCGCAGGTCTTTCATTCGTCCTCTCCTGTGAGTGCTGTGTGTGCCTGCTTGTATTTCCAGAAGGTTTCCCTGGTCTGCCCCACCCCCGTCCAGTTGCGCTTTTTCTCCCGATATAAACCGACCATGCAAAATGGATTATATGGGTGGGTTGTGCTCACAATCCGGAGCTCCACAAAGTCTAGAATCCTAGGGGAGCAGCCAGCTGCAAAGCCATTGCCATCCTCGAGGGAAGAAGGAAAAACACGCGCAAACACACGCACACCCGCGCGCACGCACACACGGGAGTCCTCAGTTCGGGCCGCTCTGCACACGCCGCCTGCCTCCCTGCGCGCCACTGCACACAGTGCCCCGCCCGCTGCCCGCGGCTCCCAGGCGAGTCCGCAGCTCAGACGAGGGGCTGGCAGCCCGGCTCCCGCGCTGCGGTGGCGACCAAGGCGGGCCCGGCTCCCCGGCTGCCCGCGCCCGCGTGTTCGGACAGCGGCAGCCGCCGGGCCGGGAGCAACTGCGCCCCGCGCTGCAGCATGGAGGCGGCGGCAGCGGCGGGCGCGCGGCCGTGAGCCCGGCCCTCGCCGCAGTGACGGGAGCCGCCGCGCCGCCCAGACTCCGACTCAGGCGCGACCCCCGCCGGGGCCGCCACGCCGCCCTCCGCGCCTCGGAGCCGGGCGTGTTCCGGACTGATTACCCGGGCCTCCTAGAGAAAAGGGCCCGTCGGGCGCCGGCAAATCCCCGGGCAGGCGAGGCGCGGGGGCGTTGCAGGTAGGGGGAGGGGAGAAAGCAGAAAACCTGAAGGATGAAGGCGAACTTCCAGGAGCATCCCCGGGCTCTTGCGAAGCGGGGGGGACTTGCTGACTGCCCACTGCCCTCACGGTTATGGAATCAAGGGTTGTCACCGAGTCAGGATGTGACTGCTTATGGCAGAGGGAAAAGTCATTAGCTATAACCCCCGAGAATGTCTGCGGCGCAAAGTTGCTGACTTGGGGATCTCGCTCACCGGCGACTGGCTTCCAGCGTTCCCTTGGTGGCAGGTGACAGTTTGCCTATTATCGGATGGGCGCAAAATCTAAAAGGAACATTATATTTGCGAGTCAACTCAGCTGAGTATCACGCAGTAGGTGGACTCAGATGGACACTGTCGAAGGCAGAAAACAAACCCAACAGTCATCACAAGCTAGACCAGGCCACTAGGAGTACTGGGACAAGGAACAGGTCTGAAGCAGGAAAGAGAAGAGGGGTGGGGAGACAGCAAAACAGGGCCCCGCTAGCCGAGGGTCGGCTGTCCACAAATCCAAGTTTCTCTCCTCGAACCCCACCCCCGCCCCCTTCCTCCGGCCCGGAAAAGGCTTCCTCCTGGGAGACCCCCGAATGAAACGAGATGTTCGCATCTCCTGAGCCTGGAAATCCTTTTACTTCTCTTTAACCGGTTCACCAGCACGTGGTCTTCGATCCCAGCGAGCAACTCCCTCTCAGCTTGGGTCCGGGTGGCCCAGAAACCACTCCGAGCCCAGAGACTGGAAGAGCTGGGAGCTGCAGAAGGAAACTGGTAAGGGCCTCTTCCCGGCCTACTTGGCAAAGCCACGTGCTAGCGGCCTCCTCGGATAGGGGCGTTCTGGAATGTTGCTACCAATAGAGCTCTCCCAGGCTTCAGCGCTGCCCTGCGGGCGCCAGACGCGCTCCCGCCGGGGCACACCCACGGGCTCTCCCGAGCGCGTACACGTGCGCCACGCGGAGGCAAGATCCACACAGCTGCCTCTGTCGGGCAAGCACGCGGGGGGTGTTGTGCTTGAGGTGGAAACTGCTCTCGCTAGTCCTCCATCTCCTCCTTCCTCTGGTTCCACCTTATAGCCTCAAGGCTCCCGGTCCAGTCCCGGGTTTAGGAATCCGCGCCAAACTCCCCCGGAGGCTTTGTTCCGAAGACGCCTCCTCCCTCCAGGTCCGCTGGCGCCGCGGGTCCCGGGCTCCGGAGCGAGTTCCGCGGAGCCCGGGCGGCGCGGAAGGATCCGAGTCTCAGAGCTGGAGGCAAACTCGTCCAGGAGAGGGACTGCGCGGCGACACCTCCGACACCTCCGAAAAATAGACCAAGGGGGCACCGCGGGGCAGGCTATCAGCGGACACCACTGCGGTCCGGGAGACGCTCCACTAAAGCCATCAGCGCTTCCCCAGTGGCTTTCTCTTCCCCGAAGTGAAAGAATCCTGTTTCCGACAAGTCCAAAGCAAAAAACCTGCGGCTAACCAAGTCCGGGGACTCTCCGAGAAACTGGGAGAGAGAGTGCTTCCATCTTCTCTTCACTTAAAACTTGGCCGCTTCTGGCACTTCACTGAGGGGCGGCGGAGTCGCACCAGCGCGGACCAGAAGCAGAGGCGAGCGAGCACTTCCAAATACTTTTGGACGCGGGGGTGACTCCTTTTTCCTTCGGGATTGTCCCCACTGTCCCCTTTCCTGCTGAGCTGATAGGAACTGCCAAAGGTTTGCAGTTCCCCTTCGGGACCAAAGTATAGAGATGCTAAATGAGAAACCCAAAGACCTTGCATTGCTGGACTGAATAACTTCTTTTTCGTTTTCTGTTTTTTCCTAGTGCCGGGCCTGAGATGAGGAGAGGGAACACTTAACCCACTGTAAGAAAAGGAGAGCTGGGAACACGGCAAAGTTCAAATAGCTTCCTGGGTGCTTCTGAGTAAAGGGGTGTGTGTATGTGTGTGTGTGTGTGTGTGTGTGTATGCATGCGTAAGAAAAGTGATAGCAACTTCTCTTTAATATGTAGTGTAAGAAAGGGGTGTGTGTGTGTGTGTGTGTGTGTGTGTGTGTGTGTGTGTGTGTGTGCATGGATAAGAAAGGTGATAGCAACTTCTCTTTAATATGTAGTGTAAGAAAGATGATATCAACGTCTCTAGCATGTAGTATATAAGTAATGTGTAACTTTGCAATATTCTCTGTTGCAAGCCCTACCAAGATCACAAAAACACCCTCTCTTCCTTTAGTTTAGCCTTCCTCTTGTGCATTAAACATTATATTTGAAAATGCTTTCCCCATTTCATCTTACCTCAAGAGAACACTCCCTGGTAAAGCCATGTACCTTTCCATCTCCAGGTAAAGTGCTTGGTTCTTTTCCTGCCATACAAGCTGATTAGAGTTGTTACCAGTAAAGAGGAGGAAGCCAGATTTGTTTAACTCGGCGGTAGAGGTGGCAAGACCTTGAAGGAAAGGCTAGGATATTCTGAACCAAAGAATGGCAAAGTTAACAGGGTGATTCCAACCAAAGGGGGAAAAAAAAGGCCTCGGAAAAAAAGGAGATGGCAATTTCTCATTCATCATTGCCTATATAAATCATTGTTGGCATTAACCAGTTTCAAAATTGGCATACTTTTAAATGTCCCAAAAACGTTAGTTTATCCCCAAATCCAATGTTTATGCCAGGTCATTTTTAAAATTACGTTAAGCTTCTTTCTTCCCCGGATCATTTTTCTAAGGACCTTTGGTCATAAATATTGGACTGTGTTTTCCCAGAATAATCGAGAATTTGAAAAAAAATGTTTTACTAATCTCAGACAGTAAGTGGAAATATGAATGCTTTACAGTTAACATAATAAGTATTAAAAGGAAACCAGAGTTTCTGGTTATATTGTTATCATTTTTTTCTAAGAGTGAGCAAGGCACTGTTTTAAAATTGTTTTCAACAATTGGTTTGCTTACCTCATGAATTTTCTTATTTCTATGGTTTGAAAATGTTTGATATATTGTCACTTTAGTTCATTTTTTGTTTACGTATTTTTTTATGTATGTTTTTAAAAATTTATTTAAATTGGAATTCTCTCCAGATTTTCTGGGTAATGAATTGGTATGGTGAGGAGCTTTTGATTCTTTTTCCTAATATAAAGTTCTCTTTTAACTCAAGACCAGAAAATGATATGTAGAAACAACAGGGAAATACAAGTTTCTGAAATGAAGAAATAACATTTTTTAAAAAAACTTAGTTAAAATAAGAATAAAGTTCTCTGCCATAGTTGTGCCCTGTATGTTTTTGAAATGTGAAGAGATCTGCTTATCTTGGAAACATATTTTTGATGTTGCACCTGACTGTAAAGGCCTAAGGTAGAAATTGTGTTGGCAATTAGATCTTACCAAAAACATGATTCAATTGGGCACTAAAGAGAGTTACAGACCCAGCATATTTCCATCATAAATAAACAGATTTCTTATTTATCTATTTTGGATCGCCCCCCCAAGTTGGATATATTTATCATTGACTATATTTCTGAGCTACAAAAAGACATTTTCCCTTTATTTTTAAATAAAAATGTTTTATATGTGATTCTTTAACTCAATCTTGTGTGAAACATACTTTACTTTCCCTTCTTCCTGAATCTTTGTCATATTTTTTAACTTGTATGGATCATGATAACGGCATACTAGATAATTAATGTCTACCTCATGAAAGCTGGAACTAGAACTAAGAACACAATAAATTACTGGATGGAACTGGTCATTTCTTTTACTAAAGAAAAGTGGTTTTTTTAAAAGCTTAATTTTTAAAACACAAGCAGTGATTTTTAAAGACAGTGTCATAGGCAAAAAATTTTTGAGAGAAGTCAAAAGAAGTTATTTCAAAGATAAATATTACCAGATAAGCAAGGCAATTCTTAGGCAGTATGGCAGGTAAGAAGTAAATTTCATGTAACTATTCATCCATCTTTTTTGTCTTGCTTATTTGCTTACCTTTTGGCATTAATTCCCTGTATTTGTCTGGTGCTTCGAGTTACCCAAAAGTCCCAAAGTGCAGCATCCTAGCTAGGAATATCTAACCCAGAGACTAATGGTACAATACTGGGATCTATTTTCCTGTCCTCATCAAAACCTCTATTTAGTCATATTAGATATATCTATTAAATTCTTAAGGGGAAAACAGTCATATAATGCTAATTCAAACTAAAGTGTCAGTGACTAGCAGTTTATCTGCTTCAGAAATACAAAGTCAACTTAATTTCTAAAACATAAAATCTCTGGCAAAGTTTTATTAATATTTATAAAGGGAGCAAAGACAGTGTAGTAGTTTTAAATTTGTTTAAAGGATTCAGTGTTAAGCATGGTGCTGTTTTTTCCTGTTTTATTTTTTAAATTGCTTTTAAACAATTACTCAAACCTATTTTATAACCTTGGAAGAAACATTTAGAAAGTTTTATATTTATATATCCAGTTAGTATTTCAGGATAACTTCCACTTGATCTTGAAACTTTATTTTAACATGAAGCCAGTCACCACATATCATCTTAAAATTTGTATTACTGTTCTTATTGATTTATAAGTACTGGTATGCCTACCAAGTTATATTGATTGAAGTAATATGCTGTCAAACGGCTATGGACTTAATTTCTTCAAAATGCATATGTTACTCTCAGTTCTACAAAACCTGATGGTAAACTACAGAAAAAAAGCATTTGCTTTTAAACTTTATTTACAGATTCCATTTTCTAGTATTTCTTCTCTAGAGTCTGCCCCTGAATTTCAGTCAGGTGGCCACCAGTCGGCAGTAAGATGATACACTCACGTGGTTGGGACCAGACCACAGGGTTTGGCTTTCTTACAAACGAGCATAGATTTTGAAATAAGAATTAATTTGTACTTATTTTATGAAAGATGCATTTTTATTCAAATAAATAATATATGTTTTATCTACATAAAAGCAGATTTTTTTTTTTTAGAACAGTGCCTTCTTAACATAAATTCCTAAGGCATGATTAGTTGATTTCCTTCTAATGTTTTCACCAGTTCTCTTCTAAGTAAGGTCTCTTTGGGATGAGTTACTTCAAACCCTCCGGCTCCTGTTTTACATCCTAGTCCTTCTGGTCCTTTGACTGACTGAGTTCTTGGCTAGCTCGGTGTTAAAGCTCCTATGGATTCATTTCTCAGCCATAATGACACTAATTTCTGTAATGAAAGCAAATCTTTTTCTTTGTGATTGTTTACCACCAAACTTCTTTCTCCAGACAGTAGCCCTTCTCTGCTTGCAGTCTAGTTCGTTCCCTGGAAATTCATTGAATGCCTTGTTATAGCCAGTGTCCTGGACTAGGCAGTGGGGAGAGAAAAGTAACCATAATTCTCTTGCTCTCTGTCCCCACAGTAGAGTTTACCATCTAGTGGAAGTAATTGACTAACAAGTCGATTATTACAATACAACCTTGCTTTAATTTCCCAAAACAACAATTTGCCTTCAAGTCCAAAGATTCCTTTTGTTAGGCCTCTCTGGAACCCACCTTTATATACTCCAATAATAGTTTCTTCATTGCTGTTAGTTTCTTTGTTTTTCTCATATTCATTCAAACTGTCTTGATAGGTAGCCTATGAAATATCCAGACACAGTCCTTTATTGAAGGACAACACAGCATATTCCATAAAATGTTAGAATATAACACACTTGGGTTTCAGTCTTGATTCTGAAATTCACTGCATTGCCTGTGAAATCATTCAACTCTAGCCCAAATAGTTAATGCTTTTGTGTATAAAGTAGAAATTATAATATTTAATTTGAGGTGGATTGAGAGATTTTATTAACTTCACCTGTGTAACTACCCAAGCAAGTAGTTAGTACCAAAACTACTATAAGCAAGTACTCCATACATATCATTTCTGTTCTTTGTCATTAGTCTATTTCAAATTATGTAATGAATAGCTAATTTCAATGAAAGGATATTATAAATAATCTAGAGTCTTAGAATAACCTGTTTGTTTTTAATCAAGAAAATTTGCTTGTAAAAGTGAGATAAAAATCTTCAGGAAGTTGCCTAAAATATTGTAATTTTATTTTAAATATTATGTATTTCACAATTCTTTCATATTAAATATTCTGTAATTTTGGTCACATATTAGCAAAGTCTTAAATACCCAAGTATCTTTCTTCAGATACTATTAAGCTTCAAAATGTATTTTATAAGATTTGTAGTAGTTCCTTAAATACCCTCCTGTTTCAGAGAGGTACATAAACCCATTTTCTTTTTATTGCATTATATTGCTATTCAGGGGTATTGTCCCAGCTTCTCTAAAGTGAACTTGTATATTGACAATGTATATTTAACTATTATCCA